GTGACCGAGGCAGCTTGGGGTGCTCCCGTTGGAAACTTGTCTCCTCATCCCTGAACATCTGTAAGAACACGACGCCGGGAACAAACTGCTGCTGTATGCGGAACGTGGGCATGCATGGCAGGGGACAACACTCGTGCGCGCACAAACACACATATTCACACACACACATAAGCGCACGCGCACACCCACGCGCGCCCGCACGCACATGGAAACGCACAAGCACACGTACATAAACACATCCACACGTTTTCGTCGGCGGCTGGGCAGAGGTAGCTGCTCCAGCGATCGGGCATCAGTGGGGCGCGCTAAATTCAAATTTGGCCGCACTGCACGGGAGGAGAGGAGGATACCCTGGCGCAACGAGAAGAGAGGAAGCCGGGCCCGCTCAGGCAAGTCCTGGCTGCGGACACATCCACACACACACTTGTTTGGCGTCGCGGCCACGCGCGCAGCTGCACGGCATATAACAGGTCGAGCGAGCGCTCGTACCGGCCCGGCTCACGCAGCGAGGAGAAGCGTAAGCCACCCATAGGGGCTCGACAGCGACACTCACGACACGAGAGAGTACACTGATGGTGATGAGGATGAGGATGAGGAGGAGAGGGAGAGGGGGGTGAAGGTAAAGAGCGACAGGGAGGAGCATACTAAGGATGAGAAGAAGGAGAGGACGGGGAGAGGGAGAAGATGAAGTAATTTATCCCGGCGAAGCAAGCTAACAGCGATGTGTATAAGCATATCTGGAAGCATTCCCCTTAAGATTCAGGTGAGAATCCAGTTGTGGAATTCTGCTGTTCTCGCAGTCGCAGTCGCATTCGCAATGACAGTCGCAGTGGCAACGGCCTTAGGACCCAATGGAATCCTAAGGATTCCTAGGGATTCCTAAGGCATCCTTAGGAACCCATAGGAATCCTTTGGAAACCTTAGGAATCCTTAGGAATCCTGATTCCTAGGGATTCCTAAGGATTCCGATGGAATCCTAAGGATTCCGAAGGATTCGCCTGCCTCGGCCTCAGCCTCAGCCTGCCTCAGCCTCAGCCTGCCTCAGCCTCAGCCTCAGCCTGTCTCAGCCTCAGCCTCAGCCTCGGCCTCCGCCTCAGCCTCAGCCTGCCTCGGCTTGCCTCGGCCTCAGCCTCAGCCTGCCTCGGCCTCAGCCTCAGCCTCCGCCTGCCTCAGCTTCAGCCTCAGCCTGCCTCAGCCTCAGCCTGCATCAGCCTCAGCCTCAGCCTGCCTCAGCCGCAGCTTGCTTCAGCCTCAGCCTCAGCCTCAGCCTCAGCCTCAGCCTCAGCCTGCCTTAGCCTCAGCCTCAGCCTCAGCCTGCCTCGGCTTGCCTCAGCCTCAGCCTCAGCCTCAGCCTCGGCCTCAGCCTCAGCCTGCCTCAGCATCAGCGTCAGCCTCTCAGCCTCAGCCTGCATCAGCCTCAGCCTCAGCCTCAAGCCTGCCTCAGCCTCAGCCTCAGCCAGCCTCAGCCTGCCTCAGCCTCAGTCTCAGCCTGCCTCAGCAGCAGCTTGCCTCAGCCTCAGCCACTGCCTCAGCCTCAGCCTCAGCCTGCCTCAGCTTCAGCCTCAGCCTCAGCCTGCCTCGGCTTGCCTCAGCCTCAGCCTCAGCCTGCCTCGGCCTCAGCCTCAGCCTGCCTCAGCCTCAGCGTCAGCCTCTCAGCCTCAGCCTGCATCAGCCTCAGCCTCAGCCTCAGCCTGCCTCAGCCTCAGTCTCAGCCTCAGCCTCAGCCTCAGCCTCAGCCTCAGCCTCAGCCTCAGCCTCAGCCTCAGCAGCCTCAGCCTCAGCCTCAGCCTCAGCCTCAGCCTCAGCCTCAGCCTCAGCCTGCCTCAGCCTCAGCCTCAGCCTAGCCTCAGCCTCAGTCCCTCAGCCTCCCTCAGCCTCAGCCTGCCTCAGCCTCAGCCTGCATCAGCCTCAGCCTCAGCCTCAGCCTGCCTCAGCATCAGCCTGCCTCAGCCTCAGCCTCAGCCTGCCTCAGCCTCAGCCTCAGCCTGCTTCAGCCTCAGCCTCAGGCCTCAGCCTCGGCCTCAGCCTCAGCCTGCCTCAGCCTCAGCCTGCATCAGCCTCAGCCTCAGCCTCAGCCTGCCTCAGCCAGCCTGCCTCAGCCTCAGCCTCAGCCTCAGCCTCAGCCTCAGCCTCAGCCTGCCTCAGCCTCAACTTCAGCCTGCCTCGGCCTCAGCCTGCGTCAGCCTCAGCCTCAGCCTGCAGCCTCAGCCTGCCTCAGCCTCAGCCTGCCTCAGCCTCAGCCTCAGCCTGCCTCGGCGTGCCTCAGCCTCAGCCTCAGCCTGCCTCGGCCTCAGCCTGCCTCGGCCTCAGCCTGCCTCAGCTCGGGCATTCAAAATATGGCACAGGACTAGTGTTCTGGGAACACGAAAATCACGAAATGGCCCACAGTCGGCTCCGGGCAATCAAAAATATGGCACAGGAATTGTGTTCCGGGAACACGAAAAACACGAAATGGCTGACAATTGGCTCCGGGCATTCAAAATGTGGCCCGGGAATTGTGTTCTGGGAAGACGAAGAACACGAAGTGGCCCACAGTTGGCTCCGGGCATTCAAAATGTGGCCTGGGAGTGGTGTTCTGGGAAGATGAAGAACACGAAGTGGCCTACAGTTGGCTCCCGGTATTCAAAATGTGGCCTGGGAAAGGTGTTCTGGGATCACGCAGAACACGAAGTGGCCTACAGTTGGCTCTGGGCATTCAAAATGTGGCCTGGGAGTTGTGTTCTGGGATCACGCAGAACACGAAGTGGCCTACAGTTGGCTCTGGGCATTCAAAATGTGGCCTGGGAGTTGTGTTCTGGGAATGGATTCCTAAGGATTCCTAAGGATTCCTAAAGATTCCTGGGGCTGCACTTTTGTCCGGTTCCTTGTCCGGATCTCGCCCAGACCCCACCTGGGGCGTCAAGATCTTCTCTTTTGATCCCTCTAGAAACCTATCAGCAAAAACTGTTAGGTAAATTGAAGAATGAGAAGGATTGTGAAAGTGAAAAAGACAAGGAAGAGGAGAGGAGGGATGAGGGTGCCAATGGAGGAGCAAGGTGAAGAGGGAACGCGCATGATCCCACAACCGTCCCCTCATATACATTACATATGCTATTTTTTGCAGGTGCGATATGCCAAACTATGCTACGCCAAACTTGGCCGTTTACCTTGCGTATATATGACGCACGGCGCAATTACAGACTAACCCCATGCCCACGATAATAATGTACCCCCCCTTAAGTCGTTAGAGTTTTTTATCGTCGACCAATAAGAGTTTGGTCGGGGGCGCGGGGGCGCGGAGGCCGAACTTCATTATCACTGGGAAAGTTCGCCATCGAGGTTACTTCCTTCTCATGTTGAGATAACAACATCAAGCGAAGGGAACACGTTGTTTCTTTGTGTTGCGTTATGTTTCTCTCTTTCTCTCTTTTTATTTGTGTTGTTTTCTGTTTCTCTCTCTCTCTCTCTCTGTCTCTCTCTCTCTGTCTTTCTTTCTCCTCCTCCCTCTGGCGCCCTGAACTTGTTTATCGCTGGGGTTGATGATCCTGGGAAAACTAAGCACATGAGCTACCCTACACGAGCAGATGAACATTTTAATTTTCATTAAACGTTTACAAATTCAATCTAATAAGTTTTCAACTTTGGATTTGTGCTTCTACCTCCTTCTCTGCTTCTCCTGCTCTTCCTCCTTCTCATCCTTCTCCTCTTCCTCTTCTTCTTTCTTTATATTTCTCGTTATATTTCTTTTTCTTCTTGTCTCCCTGGCCCCCTGAACTTGACAACTATTTCGAGGATGTCTCAAGCGAAACAAGCAATTCGTTGAGGATGTCTCAACCGAGACAAATTATTGTTGAGGATGTCTCATAGAGGACCAACGACCAAGGATTCTCAAGATATCTTTGGCTTTTTCCTATTGATATCTCTTTATGCTGGCTCTGGCGGGCAACTTTTATTATCCCCCCGAAAACCCCGAACTTTATGATCCCTTAGGGTTTATTATCGGGGGCATGGGGTTACTTAAGCAGTCCAATGCCATGCGCTGCAATGCCACGCCGCGCCGTGAAACTCTGTGTTATTCAATGCAATGAAATGTTGGTCTGGCGTTGTGATGGGTTGTGCTATGTTATGCGCTGCTATGCAGTATACGAGAGTCATGCATGGCGTTACTTTTGATGGCGTCTGACTTGAAACATGCTATGTGTACAAACGAGGTCGCCGCGAGAACCCCAAACAGTGACTCGGTGCAACAGATATGTGTGGTGCAACGTCTATGACGAGCAGCCTGTGCACTGCACCATATGCTTTGCAAAAGGTGCGGTGAAGGTGCACTCTGTGCGGTGCATTCTACGTAAGTCTGCAGGAACGCGTGCCACCCAGAGCCAACGGTTGGATGCAACAAAAGCCACCTAGAAAAGTGTAACCCACAAAGGCACTGTGTGTGTGGGGGGGGAGAATCATAAACCACATTCGACACACAAAGCCGTTGGGGGAATCCATAAGAAACCGAGGCAAGGAAGGCAAGGCAGTGCAACCGGAAAAAGTCCGACACGCATGGCCAGCAAGGGGCGACCATCGGAAGCCATAAGAGGCCAGCCACCAGAAAAAATGCGACACTGATGTCCACTTCTTTGCAGCCCAGAACTGCGACAAACATGGCCAGAGGATGGGAAACCATAGGAATGCACAGGAATCCGAACTGCCACCGGAAAACATGGAAATCCAAAACAGCATGGGGGAGATGCCAAAGGAAGCCAAACTGCCTCTGACAAAAATGCGACAGATAGCGAAAGTTCTTTAGAGCCCCAAAAAGAAGCTCTCAATGCCAACACAAGTTTGGGAAACTATTGCCCCTGACTGGATGGCGCCGGTGCCTGACTGGGGCGCGCCTGTTCATGATATAGTTTCTCTTGATGGCGTTGGTACCTGAAGGATCTGTTAGGGATGGGCCCTGCTGCATCTCAAGCCGCCCAGAAGCAACTCAAAGGAGGGGAGCAATAGCCAGACTTGATGCCCCAGCTGGCCTCGTAGATCGTGGCTGGAGACTTCGAGCCACCGCCACCGCTTGGCGAGGGCGCTTCGCAAACGCCACTGGACCATGCGGCCGTCTGGACGCGAAGTGCGGGAGGACTCCGTCCGCCAAGAGACTTCGGGCTCGGGACTCCGTAGGACCTGCCACGGGCGAAAAACACACCCGTGTCTGCGGCCTCGCGGGCTTGGCACCTGGGCCGCGGCCCCACGGGTACGGGGCGTTTTTCTCGCGGATGTCCTGCGCGGAACGTATCCGTGCGACCGCGTATCCGCGGGATCCAGCCCCGGAATCCAGACCGAGAGGGCGCGTATATGGATACGTTGGCCGCTCGTGAACCTGGCGGGACTTGTGCTGCAATAGGACCTCGCAGCTGGCGACACCGGAGGTGGCGCGTGGCCGCCCGTGAAGTGTAGCGAGATGTACGAGTCCTTCCCGAATAAGCCTTTCCCATTCTTCGTGTGCACATTCTTGCAAGCCTCTCCGAGGCGGGGATTTATACATGTCCACCGCCTGGGGAACCGACGTCGGGGGACCCCAGCGGGGCCGAATCTATGCGTATCCGCCCCCTGCCGAGGTCCCCGAAGATCAATCCCCCAGGTGGTGGTTATGGATGAATGCCCGCCTCGGAGCCTTGTCAATCTCCATGACACCCAGGCGCATGGTGCCATCCGCGCCCGCGCCGCCCGAATCGCCGGTGGTCTGTTCCGAACGCATGAAGCCTGTGTGGAAGCAGAAATAGGCCAGCAGCCCCTTGGCCTTGTTGAAATTCTCAGGTGCAGCAAGCACCGCCTCATGTGCGCTAAAACCTGGGCTGCTCTCCTTGAAAATCGATACTCGGATGTCACCTTGCACAGCGACGTCACCCAACGGTACCACCTCCACCGTTGGATCGATCTCGCCGATCTCCGTGACGGTCTCAGCTATGGGCGCCGCGCCTCCCAAAAACTGGACGAGGATCCGTACAGGAGCCAGATTCTCGGGACGCGCGAAGAAACCACCCTCCAAACTCAGGAACTTCAGCTTGGCCACAGGAGTTGGCAGCGGCGGCGGAGGCCCTGGAGAGCGTAGCCACGAGTCTGTGCGCTGCAGATGCTGGAACACCTGATTCACGTATCGCACCTGCGACGGCGTCTCCACGCCCCGCAGCTTGCCCTTGACGCGCATGTCGGTCCTGCGGCGTGCAAACAAGTCGAGCGCGTCTTCTGGCGTCTTGCGCCTGTGGGGACCTCCTAGATGAGGGCGGGACAAGTGGGGCCCCGAGATCCACCGCATCGCCGATGACATCGGCGACTGCGGGATGGAACATATCTGATTCCAAGACGCGCAGCATCGCCGATACATTGAATCTTCGCGGCGATGCGGCTCGCTTTGGGGGCCACGCTCGGTCCAGCTCTGTTTAGGAGGCCTTGAGCCTGCGAGAATAGAGGAGCCAAGCGCAGCTGAGGGAGCCGGTGCGGCCCTTACCTGCCTTGCAGTGGATGGCGATCGTGTTCGCGGAGCTGATGCTTTTGAACTCGCGTGCGTCCTGCAGGAACGCTACGAACTGCTCCATAAGCGGAGGAGTGTGGTCCTGAGGACACAAACGCGCCCCTCTCCCTCATCCTCATCCTCCTGTACCTTCTCATCCTCTTTCGCTTTCTTCCTCCCCGCCTCCTGCACCTCGTCCTGATCGCCCTCCTCCTCCTCCTCCTCCTCCTGCTGCTCCAGCTCATGCACCCAGACGACGTCGTATTCCTTCCTCTCAGTCTGTCCCATGTCCCTCCTGGATCTGGATGCAAGTGACGCTGCCGCCTGCGTCGACGAAAGGCTGCACTGGGTACGGCATCTCTGGGCAGCAATTGTAGACCCTGAATTGGTCGGGGTGGTTGAGGGTAAAGAAGCGGGCCACCTCGTTAAGTGGATTGCGGGCAAAGCTATTGGCAAAGCCTGTTGTAGGAACTCCCATAGCCACCAGGTCAGTGGAAATGTAGCTCAGGTCCAAATCGATATTGTTTTCTAAATCCACGTAGCGGTACTTGTTCTTCGACACCATATTCATTGCTGCTTGACTCATGGGTTTCAAGCGCAACGCCAAAAGACCAGCTTTAGCTAGGCCGCGAATGCTTCGGAACACAACTTTGCCCAGCTTTGCAACCACGACAATGCTTCCAGGGCCGCTGATCAGAATAGCGGATACTACAACAATGACCACATCTAGCAGAAACCACTTGTCGCGGCACAGGATATGCATGCTGAAGCAAAGCAGCTTCAAGATAATCTCCAGAGCGTAAAGCGCAAGCGTGACATAACTAATCCACGATGTCCAGATGGGAACGCTGTCTTCGTCAATCTGATGAGCGATGGCAGTCTCGACGGAGAAAGTGAGCACATCTGCGACGATTGCAAGCGTGATGAACACCTGAAACTCGATAGACAATAGAAAACGCCGCCCGTGGCCAGCGAGTCCGAAAGCCTTCTGTGCGTGCGCCGCGCTAAAACCCGATCTAAAAGTCGTAGCGATGGAAATTGCACCGAATGGGCTTCCGTTGCCGCGCCCAACCTTGAAGGGCGCTAACTATCAACCCACACCGATCTTGGCCAGGCCGAAAAGGAGCCCAGGGTGGAAATTTCAGCGATCCGGTCCCTGTCAAGGAAGCAAGCACGCAATTTTAGGGCCTCGGATCGACCAGGCCAGAATCGATGTCTCCCCCCTCCCTCTCCTCCTCCTCCTTCTCCTCCTTTTCTTCCTCCTCCTCCTCCTCGTCCTCATCCTTCAAGCCGTCCCCCCAGCAGCCTTCCTAGGACTGGCGCTGACACCAGACTGGCATGTCGGCTGAGATTCGACAGTGGCGGCCCTGGATGCGTTGCTGCGGGCCGCTGATACTGCTGTTCCTGGCGAGGTCGCTTGAGGCGATGTCACAGGACTGGTGACGCAGGACTCCACATCTTGCTGCTCGCAGCCTTTGGAGAAGGAGAAGGAGGAACATGAGGAGGAAGAGGAGGAAGAGGAGGAGGACTCCGCATTTCCCGGATCGCAGCCTGGTCTGCGGCACGGACGGCAGATCATCTTGAAGGAGCCGAATTCGTGCTGGCCGTCGCTAGCTTGAGCAACGTTGCCAATTCACGATGGAGATGTGGAGTGAAATGCAAATCACGATGGAGATGTGGAGTGAAATGGAAATGCGGGCGCGAAGTCTTACAATATCACTGGAGGCTGTGGGAGCTCATGATTCGAGAAAGCCGTTGAGTGTGCGTGGGGAGCCCCGAAGAGACCTTGATCAAATGTCCAAAAACCAGCGCGATGACTGACTGCGCGATGAAAAACAAATCCTCTGTGTAAATGAGCCGATCCGCGCACTGGCGGCGGTGGAGGTCGCGGGAACACACCTCGCTCAATTTTGATGACACCGATGCTCATTGCTCCGATACAGTCACAGGAAATCCGCGAGAGCACTCAGGCATCCAAGCGGGTTGGACTCGCAGTACCTCCGCCCACCACGTCCAAGGGCGTCCCCCGTCGAATCAAATAGTAAACGCAAAAACAATTATGCCAACAGAGGAGGAGGAGGAGGAGGAGGAGGAGGAGGAGGAGGAGGAAACAACTAATCAAGCAAAGGGGGAGAGGGAGGAAGCGGAGGTAGAGAGGCGGAAGAGAGCATTACCCAATTGGCGGCAGAAAGCCCGACACATTGTCTTATCCGCCACCGTGCCCCGACGCAGAAAATGGAGTGTCCGCAGGTCCCTTTGAGCTCTCTGTGTTCAACGATGTAAATGGAAGACGCATGCGGCGAATCCCCGCCGACGCCTGCCTTTCGAAAGCGCCTATGTGACCGAACGTTGCGGCCAAATTCCGTGTTGTCCGAGCCGCTTGTGGAAATTCTTGGAGAACACGTTGTGGAGAAAGAGGACGAGGAGGAGAGGGAGGAAAAAAGAGGAGTAGGAAGAGGAACAGCTTCAGGGATGGCGAGGTCTAATCCGAATCCGCGCATGGCGTCACTGTTCTGCCCCCCCCCCACCCATCCCACCCCGCAGCGCCCGCAAGTGGCGACGGTTTCGCAGATCGCAGTCTCTCCCAAGGATGGCGAGGTCGAACCTGAGTCCACGTCTGGCGACACTGTGCTGCCCCCCCTCCCAACAGCCCCGAGCAGCCCTTGAAAGTGGCGATGGTTTTGCATATCGCAGCCCCCCCCGGGGACGGCGAGGACAAATCTGAGTGGGCGTGGCGACGCTGTGACCCCCCGCCAGCAGCCTTCGAATGAGGCGACAATTTCGCGGACCGCGGCCCTACAGGGATGGCGAGATCTAGTCTGAATCTGAATATGGCGCGTGGCGACAATTTCGCAGATCGCAGCCCCCCCCTCAAAACAACAAAACGGCGAGGTCTGATCTGAGTCCGCGTATGGCGACACTGTGCAGGCCCCCCTTAGCTGCCCCCGGAAGTGGCGACTGTTTCGCGAACTGCAGCCCACCAGGGGCGGCGAGGTCTAATCTGAGTCCGCGCATGGCGACGCTGCGCTGCCCCTCTCCCCCCCTCCCCCCCACCACCACCACCACCGCTCCACGCGCACACTCCCAACTCACCCCTCAGCAGCCCTCGAACGTGGCGACCGATTCGCAGATCGCAGCCCCCCAGGGCTGGCGAGGTCTGATCAGAGTCTGGGTATGGCGACACGGTGCTGGTTCTCCAGCTGGCCTCGAGAAGTGGCGGCCGATTCGCAGATCGCAGCCCCCCCAAGGATGGCGAGGTCTAATCTAAGTCTGGGCATGGCGACACTGCGCTGTCCCCCCCCCCACGCTCCAGCAACCCTCGAACGCTGCGACAGTTTCGCAGGTCGCAGCCCCCAAAAGATGGCGAGGTCGAGTCTGGGCCTGTGCATGGCGACACCGTGCTGCCCGCCCCCCCTCCCCCCCAGCAGCTCTCGAAAGTGGCGGCGATTTCGCAGATAGCGGTCCTCCAAAGGATGGCGAGGTCCTATTTGGACATGTGTACATATGGCCACGCTGTGCTGGGCCCCCCAGCAGCCCTCGAAAATAACGACACTTTCGCATGCTGCAGCCCCCCACGGATGGCGAGGTCTAACCTGAATCCGCGTATGGCGACACAGTGCTGGCCCCCCAGCAACCCCCGAAGGTGGCGACCGTTTCGCAGATCGCAGTCTCTCCCAAGGATGGCGAGGTCGAACCTGAGTCCACGTCTGGCGACACTGTGCTGCCCCCCGCCACGCTCCAGCAGCCCTTGAAAGTGGCGATGGTTTTGCATATCGCAGCCCCCCCCCGAGGACGGCGAGGACAAATCTGAGTGGGCGTGGCGACGCTGTGCCCCCCCCGCCAGCAGCCTTCGAATGAGGCGACAGTTTCGCGGACCGCGGCCTTACAAGGATGGCGAGGTTTAGTCTGAATCTGAATATGGCGCGTGGCGACAATTTCGCAGATCGCAGCCCCCCCCTCAAAACAACAAAACGGCGAGGTCTGATCTGAGTCCGCGTATGGCGACACTGTGCAGGCCCCCCTTAGCTGCCCCCGGAAGTGGCGACTGTTTCGCGAACTGCAGCCCACCAGGGGCGGCCAGGTCTAATCTGAGTCCGCGCATGGCGACGCTGCGCTGCCCCTCTCCCCCCCTCCCCCCACCACCACCACCACCGCTCCACGCGCACACTCCCAACTCACCCCTCAGCAGCCCTCGAACGTGGCGACCGATTCGCAGCCCCCCAGGGCTGGCGAGGTCTGATCAGAGTCTGGGTATGGCGACACGGTGCTGGTTCTCCAGCTGGCCTCGAGAATTGACGGCCGATTCGCAGATCGCAGCCCCCCCAAGGATGGCGAGGTCTAATCTGAGTCTGGGCATGGCGACACTGCGCTGTCCCCCCCCCGCGCTTCAGCAACCCTCGAACGCTGCGACAGTTTCGCAGGTCGCAGCCTCCAAAAAATGGCGAGGTCGAGTCTGGGCCTGTGCATGGCGACACCGTGCTGCCCGCCCCCCCTCCCCCCAGCAGCTCTCGAAAGTGGCGGCGATTTCGCAGATAGCAGTCCCCCAAAGGATGGCGAGGTCCTATTTGGACATGTGTACTTATGGCCACGCTGTGCTGGGCCCCCCAACAGCCATCGAAAATAACGACACTTTCGCATGCTGCACCCCCCCACGGATGGCGAAGTCTAACCTGAATCCGCGTATGGCGACACAGTGCTGGCCCCCCAGCAACCCCCGAATGTGGCGACCGTTTCGCAGATCGCAGTCTCTCCCAAGGATGGCGAGGTCGAACCTGAGTCCACGTCTGGCGACACTGTGCTGGCCCCCCCGCCACGCTCCAGCAGCCCTCGAAAGTGGCAACCGTTTCGCAGATCGCAGCCCCCCTCCCATGGATGGCGACATCGAAAATGAGTCCGGGTATGGCGACATTGCGCTGGCCCCCAGCAACCCTCGAACATGGCGACCGTTTCGCAGATCTCAGCCCCGCAGGGATGGCGAGCTCGGAGGCAGTTTCGAGAGGGGTACGAGACAATATGGAACAGAGAGAACGCGAGAGAGAGAAAGAGAGAGACACACAAGAGAGAGAGAGAGAGAGAGAGAGAGAGAGATAGAGGGGGAGAGAGAGACAGAGAGAACTAGAGAACTCACAAAGAGAGAGAGAGAGAGAGAGAGAGAGAACGAGATAACGAGACAGAGAGGGAAAGAGAGAGAGAGAGCGAGCGAGAGCAAGAGAGAGAGAGAGAGAGAGAGAGATAAAGAAAGAGCGGGAGAGAGAGGGATACTAATACAGAGAATGAGAGAGGGAGGGAGAGAAAGAGAGAGAGAGAGATCCTGGCGAAAGACCCAACCATGTGCAGTTGTTAGTACCGCAGTGGTGACTATGTGACTAACTCGTTCGGTGCAGCTCGCTAGCCGCATGCGAGCGCAACCACTGAAGCTTTCGGAAGAGCTCCCTATGGGGCTATGAAACGTGTCAGGGGTGCGCCGAACTGGGTCGGGGCCGCGCTGCGAACGAAGCCACTGGGGCCTTCGGTGGAGCTCCCTCCCTATGGGGCTATGAAGCGCGTCAGGGGCGCGCCGAAATGGGGCGGGGCCGCGCTGCGAACTTTGCCACTTGGACCTTCGGTGGAGCTCCTTATAGGGCCACGAAGAGTGTGAGGGGTGCGCCAGAATGGGGCGGGGCCGCCATGCGAACTTTGCCACTGGGGCCTTCGGTGGAGCTCCCTTATGGGGCCACGAAGCGTGTAAGGGGTGCGCCGACATGGGGCGGGGCAGCAGTGCGAATGCCACTGTGGCCTTCGGTGGAGCCTCATATAGAGCCACGAAGCGTGTGAAGGGTGCGCCGAAATGGGGAGGTGCCGCCATGCGAACTTTGCCGCTGGGACCTTCGGTGGGGCTCCCTATGGGGCTATGGAACGTGTGAGGGGTGCGCCGAAATGAAGCGGGGGTCGCCATGCGAACTTTGCCACTGGGGCCTTCGGTGGAGCTCCCTATGGGGGGGGGGGGGGGGGGGGGGCATCGGTCGTGGGGAGACGAAGGGCAGTGGGTCGCCCAGCCCAGCAGCGGCGGTCGTCGCCTGGTCCCAGAGGGACCAGCGAACGACCAAAGCCAACTCGCGCACCTCGGTGATGGACGGGTCGCGGCCGTGCTCGCCCAAGAGCGCGCCCGCCAGATGTAGGACCAGGCGCTGCCTCTCCTCGTGGGTGTCGGCTGGGAGCCCCAGGCTGCTGCGAGCTCCAGCTCCAAGGGTAGCTTGTCTTGATAGTCCCAAAGCCGCAACGTCTGGCCGAGTAGCTTCACGGTTCCCGTGCCGGTCTCGCGGGCTTCGTCCCAGGCCGCGGGGCTGATCACCACGTCGGGCTCCCCGCCCAGGTTGCCTGCTTTGGCGCCTATCCTGTCCAGCGCCGCGCCTGCCTCCTCCGCGAGAGTGGGTCCTCCATCGCGGGTGGCTTCCAGCAGTGCCTGCTCTAGTTCGAGCATGGCCCCCTCTGCTTTGGCCTGGGTCAGCCGAGCCAGGACGTGGGACTTGAGGTAGTCGCTGGTCTCCTGGAGCTTGTCAAGCACGCCGCTGTTCTGCGCCTCGTCGATCAGGGTCTGCCGCTCGACGGCCTCGAGGTGGTCGCACTGGCTGGTGCTGTGCACCCAGGGGCGGTCCGCATGGGCGTCGAGGAGCCAAGAGTGTTCTGGCCCCTGTACTGCCTCCCTCAGGTCGTTCTCCATCGCAGTGCGCTGAATCTCGTCATAGGCCGCCGGCGCGCTCCAGTCGACCTCCGGGCCAGCGCAGCCCTCGCGCTTCGGCGGGGCCCCCGC